GTATGCCCGGATAGGGTTTTGGATGACCTGGGAGCGTTTTGGCGCCTATTGTGGAAGTTAGCATTTTGGAAGGAATTTCATAAGTTTGGGTTGAAGTGCATTTCAGTGTTATCGATGTCCGTTTGGGATTCTGAGTCTGGGAGTAGCTCCGTATGGTGATTCTGGTATTAGAAGCGCGATCGGAAGTGAATTCGGAGGTCCGTGGGTCATTTTAGAGTTATTTGGCTAAAGATAGAAATTTGAAGGTTTTGAGAAGTTTGATCGGAAGTGAAATTTTTAATATTAGGGTCCAAATCCGATTCCGAAAGTTGGAGTAGGTGTGTAATGTCAAATATGACTTGTGTGCAAAATTTGAGGTCAATCGGACGTGATTTGACGGGTTTCGACATCTGTAGAAGTTTAAGATTCTAAAGTTCATTAACCTTGGATTGGAGGTCGATTCATGGTTTTAGCGTTGTTTGATATGATTTGAGACCTTGAGCAAGTCCGTAATGTGTTTTGGGACTGGTTGGCATGATTGGTTGGGGTCCCGAGGGCCTCGGGTGGATTTCGGGTGGCTATCAGATCGAAATGGAATCTTTGGGAAGGCTGAAGCTGCTGGTTGTTGTCATAACTACACCTGCGATTGCTAAACCGCAGGTGCGAGACCGCAGAAGCAGTCCATCTATCGCAGAAGCAGCCCAAGGCCAGGCAGCCCAAGACCGCAGATGCGGCCCTAAATCCGCAGAAGCGGAACCGCAGAAGCGGTGGGCCTGTCCGCAGAAGCGGCCCAGACCGCAGAAGCGGTCTTCTTTCCGCAGAAGCGGTGGTCGCAGGTGCTGCCCAGGACCGCACATGCGGAAATCGCAGAAGGTAGTGGCCTTCATTTATTCAGGCTCTAGGCCTTTTTTGTTCATTTTCACTCATTTCTTGGGCGATTTTGGAGCTCTTGGAGGGGTGATTCCGCCTAGCATTGTGAGGTAAGTTATTTCTAATTAATGTGAGTTTAATACTTGAGTTTTTGGTAGATAAACACATAAAAATTAGTGAAAATCGTGGGAATAGAGTAAAACCTAGGGTTTTGCTAAAAACAAGATTCAACCACGAAATTTGTTATGGAATGAAGTAGAAATCACGTATTCTTGATTCTTAGGTTATAAAGAAGAACTTTCTTCGAAAAGATTTCGGAATCCAGGCACGTGGGCCTGGGGCCGGATTCCAGGAAACTTGTGTTTACGGTTGGGAAGTTGCTTAAATAGTTAGAATGCGATCTTTTGAGCTTGTATTAACTAGTTCTTACCTCGTTTATCTAGTTTTGGATCGTTTGGCTCCAAATTGAGAGTTTGAGCTCGTTTTTGGTATTGGAAGTACGCTTTGGAGCGAGGTGAGTCTCCTTTCTAACCTTGTAAGAGGGAACTGTCCCCACAGGTAAAATAATTGATTATGTGCTCCTATTTGTGGGGGCTACGTACGTACGAGGTGACGAGAGTCCGTGCGTAGCTACTAATATGTGTAAGTCCGGGTAGTCTAGGACCCAGAAGCATGCTATACTTGTAATATCTGTAATCTTATAGATAGTTAAATTTCTTAAATTCTATCGAATTGGTAAATGAATTTCTAGGAGAATTAAACTTCTTTTTTCTTAAATCGTTGAAAGAGAATTGGCTTTTATTTGGGTAAATATTCCCCGATAAATTTTAAATTTGCTGTTTGAGCATGTATTTCTATGTGTACTTGCGTCGCATGTGTGATTTGCGAGCAGGGCGCTTCTTTACATAAATTTGACAGCGTCGCATGTATGATTCGCGAGCGGGGTAATAGATGCATCTATGGTTCACGTCGTTCGACCCTCGGCAGTGCACATTTTACATTAATGTTGGATCCGGCCGTATGATCTCGGCATGAGTTGTGCAAGTTTGTATTGCTTGCATTGAGATTTATTGATATTGATATCTGCTCTCCCCGACTTGAGATAATTGTTAATCAATGAATTATGAATCCAGAGGCTTTTAATAAAAAGGAACTTTTACCTATTTCGTGACTCATTTGAATCTATTGTTGTTCTTAATAAATCCGTAATTCATCGCATTAATAATGTTATTACTGGACCTTTAGTAAGTGTCGAAGTTTCCATCTCGTCTCTACTTCTTCGAGATTACGCGGGATACTTACTGAGTACACGTTGTTTTCGTAATCATGCTACACTTTCTATGCATTTTGTTGCACAGGTACAGGTATTACTAGTGGCCTACTGGGCGTAGCAGCATGGATGATACGGAGACTAGGTGAGCTGTATTTCTCGAGGCAACCCGCAGCTAGTATAGTCTCTCTCTCTCAGCATTGTATTTACTTTCTGTCCAATTTATGTTCCGGACGGTTACTGTACTTTATTCGATTTCTTAGAAATTGCTCATGCACTTGTGACACCGGGTTCTGGGATGATTATGAAGTATTTTGTATTAACTGCTTAGCATTCAATTGATTTGAAACGATTATCTTTTACTGGTAAATTTGAAGGAAAGTCATAGTTTTCAAGAGTATTAAAATGAGAATTTAATTAAGTATTTTGGTTGGCTTGCCTGATAGTGGTGTCCGGCGCCATCACGACCTTTTGCGGGATTTGGGTCGTGACAACATGGTATCAGAGCACTAGGTTCCCTTAGGTCTCACGAGTCATGAGCAAGTCTAGTAGAGTCTCGCGGATCGGTATGGAGACGTCTGTACTTATCTTCGGGAGGCTACAGGGCTGTTAGGAGCACTTCCCTTCTTGATTTCCTCATCGTGCGACTTGATTCCTTGAGGCTTATGCCCTTGTTTCCTTCTTACTCGTTCTTACGCGACACGAACCGCTTGTTATAAATCGAGAATTGAAGAATTATAATGGTACTATAGATGTGGTGCGGGATGTTTCTCCCGGTATAGTTGGGTGAGCTATTATCGTCGCCTTGCTGAAGGATTTTTCTATCGTTTCGGCTCGATAGTTGTGCTTCTAAGAGCTTAGAGGCTATGCACAGGTTGCTATGCTGCTCGAGATTGGTTATCGCACAATATTAACTTGATGGTGGGAGACTTGCCTGTGTGTTGGGGCGGTGAATGAGTTGAAAGGAAATCTACTCAGTGCACGATTCAGAGATATGATATTTCACTTCCGGCGAAGGAAAAACAATTGGCCTATGAATGTCCATATTTGGGGTGATGGAGTAACGAGACTTGGTAATTTCGAGCGTGGTGGAATTCTTATCTATGATGTAGGGTCGTCGTCCTCGATTGTATGTTTTAAGTTCGCTGGTGTTATGGTCTTCTGCAATTCTCCCTTGGGGTAGGATATTGTGAAATAATATTGGAGAAACGACTGTTGGATATCGCGGGGTGCAGTGGTTCAGGATTGAATCGGTGTTTCTAATGTCGACGGCTCGAGAAAGATTATCTCCGGAAGGGTTTAAAGTTAGTAGCGATTTGTGGGTTCAAGTGCTACGAAGATAGATTTTATTAAGGCGACAACTGAGCAGCAAAGGATGAGGAAGGACATGTGGAGAGTGTCAGCCGGTGGTTAAAATTTCTAGAAGGCCAGGTATAAGAAACAAAGGTCGAGTGCTCGATTAGAGGGGTGAGTTCCACCAAAGTGGGAGAGTGGCGGAGTTGCATATGGGCTTTGTGTTAGAATGACTACGCACCTTAAGGAGAGTTTGGAACGACTTGGGAATTTTAGTGATTGATGATTGGGGTCTACGGATCTAATTTGAAGTATGGGCTATTATGCGGCAGGAGATTTGATATAACGGAAAGGAGCTACTTGAAATGAAGAAGGATACAACGTAACTTTGAATTGGAAGGGTGTTGCCGCACATTTAATTGATGTCCAAGAGGGGTGAATGGACTTGTGCAGCTAGAGAGTGAGCTCGGACTCAGGATGGGTTATTGATGTCGTAGTGATTGTACATCGTGCAGCAGCGTTGGAAGATGTCGGCACGTAAATCCTACAGGCGGGTTATCTCCAGTGAGCAGATCGGTGGTCGCATGGTTGGCAAAGCTTCTGCGAAGAATTCTATTGGTTATACAGCAAAGAGACCGATCGTGCGAATGTAGTTGATGATTCAGAGTATAAAAAGGGGTTTTATATAAATACTTCGAGAATTATGGCGATTGATTGCGCAAGGTTATGTCAATAAGAGATAAAGAATCCTGATGAATTTCAGATTTGTGTAATAGTGGCTTCAAGCTAAGTGGTAATTTGAGCAAAGGAATTGTTAAAGGTATGCTATGGTTGGCTTTATCGGCTCATGTTCAGACTTGGGGAAGGATTCAGGATTTATGCCTTGTATAGATGCGGGTTTCAAGGGAAGTGATTCTGCCGGGTGCTTCGTCAAGAGGGTATTCATGTGCTAGAAGATTCATGGAGTTGATTATATTCGGGGCCAAGTCAGAACGGGTGGCTCTCAACAACGGTCCTAGTGGATCCAAAGGGGCAAAGCATGGTGCCTAATGATTGCGAGCCTATAGGTACAGTTAAGAATCAAGCTTTGTAGCAGCTTATGAGAAGAGGCACAGAATGTTCTATGATATTTTGACTTGCAGTGTAGCATTTGGGAGGTATGAAATGGTTCGTAGGATTTGAGACAGCATGATCTCGTGATTCAAGTTCACTCGGGATAAGTGTGGAGGGAGTGTGTTATGTGTTGAATGGAGTTATTATATTTCTAAGGCAATCAAGATTAATTTGGAAGAAGATAGATTGGTTAGCCATAGTTGAATTGGCATATTATAGCGATCACTGTTGTACCCAAAACAGCCTCTCTGAATCTCACTT